TTCTTGGTACCGGCTTAACATTTCCTCAGTGTAAGAAATACCTGGTATTTTTTTCTTCACCATTTTGATCACCAGCACATATATAATTTGCAGTCTCAGAGAACTCCCTGGAGCACAGAAAGTGTAAATGTCAGAGGTAGTTCTTAAGCCCAAGCCTTCTGGACTCTAAGGTGGGCTCTCTATTTGTTTTTCCTTTTTACCTCCCTGTGAGCTATTAAAGGGGATCTATTAAGAAACATTATAAAGAAACATATATTGGAGGGGTCGGTAGGGAACAGCAATAAGACAAAAAGATTAGCACTTCACAGTTTTCAAAGGTTCATTTTTCATCTTTCCAGTAGCTCCAAGAACTTCATATTCTGGTCTCAATCTGTCTTTCCAGACTGATTCCTATGTTACTTAACAATATGTCAAACTGGCCAACTTACTGTTCTCTTTAAACAACATCCCAACTCATTTCCCTGTGCCTTGTCCTCCCATTCCTGGAATTATCTGGCTCCTTACCTCCTGCTTGTAGAATTACCAGCATCCTTCAAAGCCCAGCTCAAATACTCTGAGGCAGTTTAGTGGCATAGTAGATAGAGCATTGGCCCTAGAGTCAGCAAGACCTGAGTTCTAATGTGACCTCAGACACTTACTAGCTGTGTGACCTTAAGCAAATCACAATCAGTCTTTGTTTTCTTAACTATCTCAGTTTTCTTAACTACAAAATAGGGATAATAACAGCACCTGCCTCAGAGAGGTGTTGTGAGGTCAAAATGAAATAATAAAAGCACTTAGCACAGTGCCTAGCACATAATAGGCACTATAGAAATGCTTGCTATTAGGTAACACCTCCTAAGGCCTTTCCTGATCCTCTCCATCGCCAGAAATTGTTCCATATTTATCCTATAATTGTATATCATGTATTGGAATCTGGGTTGAAAGTAGTAATTGTTTTGTTTCTCTTTCTATATCCCCAGGGCCTAGCACTGTCTCTAATGATTTTTTAATTGAATCTAATGGCATTTTTCACTTTCCTTAGATCCCTCCTCACATTATCTTCTTCTTCCTTCTCAGTCTGGACCTTGCCATCAACCCAACCCTACTTCCATACCTGTGGAACTGGCTGGTCCAAGGTATCTTTCTTAGCCTCCCAGCCCTCGATATGCCCTATGGGAATCTGAGCCTGAGCTGGGATTTTCTTCCTACTCCTCCTGCCCCCTCCTCCCACCAGATCAATCATTTTAGGTCATTTCACCCTCAGTCCTCTGGGCAATGAATGAAAAAGCATTTGTTAGGCACTTAATATGTGCCAAGTACTATACTAAGACTCTTTGTCTTTGAGAACTTCATGTCCTGACCTCATCAGAAGCCATTCACTTCATTATTTGTTTTGGACAATCTGAAGCAGATTCTGCAACACAGATCTTTGTTGCTCAGTTTAACAAATTCAACAAACTAGTCTCCTCAGCTACCTACCCATGTAAGTCCATCCCTCTGCCCACTAGTCTGGGTCACTTCACTCCTTGGCTGCATGGTCCAGTCTAACTTACTTTCACATTCTGAACATGTGCTCCTGTGAGCCACTCCTAGCTTCACAGTATTGGCCATCAAATGGCCAGTTAGATAGACAGATACACCTGAGGGCCAATGGTTTTTTTTTTCTTTGTCCTCAGTTAAGAATCTATTCTATACAACTTGGAGTGAAAAAGTCATTCCGACCAATAAACACCTAAATGAACTACAAAGGTTGTATAAAGGAAGACAACGTCTGCATCTTCTGAACTGATAAATAAAAGTACGTATGTATGTATATATATATATATATATATGTGTGTGTGTGTGTGTATGTATATATATATAATGTGTATATATTATATATGTACATATATTATATATAAAAAGTATATATATAAATAGAAGAATGATTTTACATATGTGTGTATAGATAGGTAGATAGATAGATAGATAGATAGATAGATAGATAGATAGATAGATGGATGGATGGATATAGACATAGACATCCACATAGTTGTGTCTAATGGTAGCCATCTCTAAGTTAGGTGGGGAGGAAAGGAAAAAAGAAACAAAAGAAATTTACATGTTAATTTTCTTACATATCTAAAAGAATAGCAAGTTATACATAATAGATTTGCAGTTTCATATGCAATCTTTTTTTTATTACACTATATTATGGAAATGCTTGTTTTATTCCATAAATTAAAATTTGAATAAATAAAAAAAATTTTAAAGAGAAATAATAATAAATCCATTCAGGGGCAGGGGGAGTATCTATTTTTGCCTGTCTCAGAACCATGTGTCTGAGAATTAGTTGCAGTGTCAAATACATAGATAGCATCCTTGAGTGAAATCACTTCTAGCAAGCACCCCTAGTGCCACACATTTTTGTTACTACTACAGGGAGAGCACTAGATTTGGATTAAAAGTACTCCAGTCTAAAACCTGGCAATTCTTCACTACCTGTGTGATGCCAGGCAAGTCACTGCATTTCTCTCAGCCTCAGTTTCCTTATCTGTAAAGGACAGATTTGCACAAAATTACCCCCAAGATCTCTTTTACCTATAAACCCACATCTGTGTCCTATTCTCTTTTGCAGCCTTGCACCTAGTAGGCACTGAATAATAATCAGGACATCTGTGTTCTCTCCTCAGGAGCAAAGCCAGGGAAATGTGAGGATGCACACATAAGAGCCAGAGGCTTCCACCACCCTAACCCTTTGCTTCTTCTATGGTACTCAGCCAGAATAACGTTGAAAGCTTCATCAGAAGCATTTGCCTTCTCTTTCCCTTTTGGGCCCTTGGATGCCAGTGATTTGTCATTCCTCAAACCTCAGGCAAAGTAATGTTTCCCCCGGAGACCACCCTAGCCAAACTCATTACCTGTCAGGTGATGGAACTGCTCAATGGTGCTAGCATTTCATCTTACGTGGTCTTTACACTTGTAGTTTTCAAAACTCAGTGCATGCATCTCCTTTTTGTCACACTGGCCAGGCTCTCACATTGGTATGTATTAGCCTAAGCCTTCAGGTATACTCCTGAAAGTGATGGATCAATCTAAAAATAGGCCCGATTTCTTTGCTGGAACTCACCCCTCATTGTGAGAGGTAATGATGATGATATGTAGGTTTCCAAGCTATTGGTCTCAGCAATTATATGAGCTGCCCTGGTAGCATCCATCAAGCCTTATGATAGAGAAAAAACTAATCCCCTAATAATCCTTAGGAAGAATATTAAATTTGGAATAAGAAGGCCTGGGATCAAATCCAGCTCTTCTACTCACTACCTGTGTGACTTTGGGCAAGTTTCTTTAGTTTTTTGGGCCCCGGTTTCTTCATTTGTAAAATGAAGGGCTTGGATTAAATGCTCACGAAGGTCCCTCCTGAATCTAAAACCCTATGATCCTTTGACCACCTGGACATCCAGGACACAAGACTATAGTCAGAGATATGTACTAACGGGATCTTATAAATAAGGGGGCAACTGGGTGACCCAGTAGATAGAGTACTGGGCCTGGATTAAGGAAGATCTGGCTTCAGACACTTACTAGTTGTGTGACCCTGGGAAAGTTATTTAACCTTGTTTGCCTCAGTTTCTTCATCTGTAAAATGAGCTGGAGTAGGAAATTGCAAACCATTCTGTTATCTTTGCAAGAAAACCTCAAATGGGGTCCCAAAAAGTAAAATGCAACTGAAAACGACTGAACAACAAGAAAAGAAATAAATAAGTCAATTTTTTTTTTAGTAGGGATTGGGAGGATGGTTGTGAAGGAATCCTAATAAAGCTGCTCCCAGCCCCAGTATTCTAACAGCAAGTGTGTACATGCACTCAACCACAGCCACATCCATTTTCCCCAGACAGGACCACAATAGGCAGCCAATAAGAAAGCTGTACAACCAGAGTGCTTGGGCACCAAACCATCAAAGGGGCTGTAATAGTAAAGAACTGACCTAAAGTAAACTTATGATGTAGAGAGAGTTATTATAATATCATTATCATGTATTAATGCCCCCCCAATGGCTTTTTTTCTGTATGTATTATGGGTAATCACATGCACAATTCCACCAAGGCTGGGACCCTTTCCCTATTGCCTAATCCCTTAACAAACTCTGCCTATATTTTAATACTCATATATTCTGTAATGATGTAATTGCATCTTTTACTTTATAAAAATCCTGTCTTGCTCTGATAAGCTGCCTGTTTCCTTCTTTGAGCTCAGCCGGCTTCCTGAGAAGCATAATTCTCAATAAATGCCTTTGCTTGGATTGGAGATGGTCTCAGTCTGTGAATTCTTTCAAGTTGACCCCACAATACATCTTGAAAGTGAAACAGTTCCTTTTCTCTCTTCTACCAATGCCTTTGGCCTGTTTATCAGTATCAGTCACCCAATGATGGTAGCAAAAACAAGATGGAAAAGCCAAAATTAGTAAAGGTTAAAAAAATATGGATTTTATAGCCTCTTGAAAAGCAAAAATATAAATATTAAGAGAGTCTATAGGAACATTTTTTAAACAAAAAAGTCACACAATAATACAGTCACCCATACACTGGTGAAATCTGTTGAGATTTGGCTGCTTTGGGAAATCAGTCTATAGAATGCCCAAGTAACTGTTTAAAAATGAAAAATTCAATCACATCAATAATTAAGCAACACTTAAAAATTAATCATTTGAATTCCATATTCCCTCCCTGCCCCCAAACCAGGAACTGAATTGACTGTTACGAAGAAAATTGGCAAAATTGGAACCCAAGAATCAAAGCTAAAAAATAACTTTGTGGAGGAAGGAGTAAAAATCATTGCATGGCAATGCATACCTAAGAGTGCCATACTGTAGCCCAGTGATTGTTTTTTCCTGTATAACTCTAGTTTGAGAAGGAATTCTAACATGTGGTTGGATGATAAATACCCTTTCACAGTCTCCTTGTTACCTTTACTTGAGATGATGATTAAAAATCAAGCATGACCAGTATGGCCTTAGAAGAAGAGAGGAAGAAACTCACCTCCCTTTCTTTGCTGATGTCTACAGCTGTGATATGTTGCATGTTTTGTCCAATACTGTAGTTGTAGTTGTTATGGTGATTGGTTTTGCTTTTGTTTTTCTTTGTTGGAGGCAGAGGTGCAGGTCAGAATGCTATCCTGAAATGACTATGATATAAAAAGAAAAGCTATCAATAAAAAGAAATTAAACTCAACAAAAATGAGCAAGCCTTACTGAGACTTTTTGCTCCTAATCTAAATAAAGAAGTGGCCTTGGCTTCAGAGGTCAAAGACAGAGACAGACAGACAGATGGGGGGAGGGGGGAGAGAGAGAGAGAGAAAGAGACAGGTGCATTTATTAAGAACTTATGTGTCAGACACCATGCTAAGCACTGGGGATACAAATATAAGCAAAAAGAAAGACATTCCCTGACCTCAAGGAGCTTACATTCTAACTGGAGAGTGCAAGACATAAAAGGGAACTGAAAAGCAGGTGGGAAGACATGGCAAGACTAGTAAACAGCAAAGCGGGGACTTGAAAGTCAGTTTTCTGACTCTGAATACAATACTCTTTCCATCAGGCCAAGCTTCTTGAGTTTCTGTGGCTTCTGTAACCTGGTGTAAAAGGTGGAGTTCCTAGAACACCTCTCTCTTGACAGATTAATGGATGTGGTTCTCTATCTTGGGGAATTTCTTTCCAATAACATTGGTGTGGTTCAAGTTTACCATGCACAAAAGGCTTACTGGAACCATTTGAATTTGGCATTTTTAAAAAATTCAATCCACTAGGCTTTTTTTTAAAATAACACTTTATTTTTTCCCCAATTACATGCTTAACCAAATTTCAACATTTTTTAAAATAAGTTTTGAGTTCCAAATTTGAATTTGGTATTTCTAGCTCTTTCCACTACAGGCAATAAGTTCTTGATAAATCTTTGAACATAAAGGGTATTTATTACAACATGTAAAGTTGTTGCCCCTGAGCCCAGTTACCAAGGGAATAGGTATAGCTAGAGCTTCTTCGCTCTCACACGTTCAGTCCTCCTTCTATAGAAACAAACTCATACCACCACCAAGAGAAGTCCCATTAGCATGAAGCCAGGGGCTGTTTCTTTTTTGCCTCTGTATCCCTAGCTCTTAGCAGAGTGCCTGGCATATAGCTGGTATTTAGTAAACGTTTGTTTAATGATTGGAATTGGATACTTTAAGGAAGACAACATCCATACATCCCTGAGGCTTGTTTTCCTGATGATTTCTGCTCAGTCAGTTGTTCCAGCAGTGGTATACTTTGTCCCTACAGTATCTCAGACCCAGTTGCCACAGCATAGGCCCATCACAGCTCTGCTTGACCCAGTACAAATTTCTCCTTGACCTATTGGCCTTCCCCATCTAACTCTCCATTCAAAGTAGGCTCCTAGATATCTCTACCATCCCTCATATGCCTTGCCTTCTTTCCAACAATCTCTTGTTGTTTGTTTGGTTGTTTTTCAGTCATGTCCAATTCTTCTTGACCCCTTTTGGGGTTTTCTTGGTAAAGATATTGTAGCAGTTTGCCATTTCCTTCTCTAGCTCATTTTATAGATGAAGAACTGAGGCAAACAGGGTTAAGTGACTTGCCCAGGGTCACACAGCTAGTAAGTGTCTGAGGCCAGATTTGAACTCAGGAAGATTAATCTTCCTGATTCCAGGCCAGAATTCTATACACTGTTCCAGCTAGCTGCCTTGCTACCCAGCAATCCAGTGGTTCCCAAAGTGGGTGATACTGACTCCTGGGGCTTGCTGGAACCATCCAGGGGGGCAGTAGTAGCCTCAGGTGCACTTGGGGGGGGCATTAAATAAAAATAAAGGGGCATTAGAAGCATAAGGAAAGAAGAGAAGAAAATTTTGAAAAAATGTTCATACATGTTTCATCTGTTGTGTAACGGAGTTAAAGTCATGTATTTTCCAAAAAACACACAAAATGCAAGTAATAACCAGTTGTTGGTCAAGTCCACTGACAGGTCTTAACAAGCAAGTGTTGGTGGGTGAGCATGTCATGCATTGTCAGGAAGTTCATCATGCATCTGCAGGAATATGTGCATGTAATGACTTGTTTACGATATGATACTGTACAGTTATATGATGCAATATTGCATCACCAAAATTTCAATGCAGGAAAAAACCCACAAATTTACAATAAATTATTAAATTTGCAATGCATCATTTTAAAATATATATATTTTATATTTTTTTGAAATGATACAAATTTCAAAAAGAAACCATTAAAGGGTTAAAGATTTCCAATGGGGCACTAAATAATTTACTTTTTGAAAAGAGGGTGGTAGGGGGCAGCTAGGTGGTTCTGGAGTCAGGAGGGCTTGAGTTCAAATCTGGTCTCAGACCAGACACTTGACACTTACTAGCTGTGTGACCCTTGGCAAGTCACTTTACCCCAATTGTCTTGCCAAAAAAAAAAGTGGTAGGCCAAATAAGTTTGGGAACCTCTGCAGCAATCCCTGCCCTCTTCCAATCAGCAGCTTGAGGTCCATGGTATTATAAGAAAGTGAGTCTTTTCTTATTAATTTTGATTTGCTTTTGAATTAATTTATCAATCAAGAAGCATTTATTAAGCATTTATTATTTTATGGTCCCAGAGCTAAGTTCTCGAGATACAAAGAAAGATTAAGAGTCCCTACCGTAGAGGAACTTATATTCTAATGATAGACAACATGTACATAAATTGGTAAATAAGTAGCAAACAAATTATCTCTGTAGTTCATTTAGCAACTAATATGTAAAGACTTGTTACATCTCTTCTTTCATTGTCTTCAACCATTACTTAAACCTCCATCATTATTTGATTTTTCATGTGTTTATGCTTGTTTCCCAAATCAAATCTCCAGATCCTTGAGATCCTGCTTATACCATATTAGGTTGTCTCCAACTTATAAAGACTGTGTTATAAACATATTTTTGTAAGTTAATTGTTAGGAATTCATTTCCTAACATTTCCCCACAGAAACTATGTTATGAATGTTTCCTAGACCCACCCAAAAGTCAATTTAACTTCTGATTCAACAATAACAACAGTACTAACCTGAGCCCAGGCTTTGGGGAGCAAATCTATGTTGGAAGTAATGAGACAGATAAATTAGCTGTGGACTAATTTAGTCAGTTTTGAATAGCCTAAGGAAGGAAAGAGGGCTGTCCTTGCCACAAAGAAGACTTTCTTCTGGGAGATCATAGCCTTGCCTCCAGAATCATTGGGCCCTTGGGGATTTTCCTTTCAGCTCTGCCTAGGGAGTGAGCACATTCAGAGTTCAAGCTTTGAGAATTTTACTCCAAAATCTACTGTTCAGTGAACGTTTCCCAAGCTGAATTAGATAGATTATTCTCCAACAATCAGACACCAAGAAAGCAATAATGGTTCTCTGTCATCATAAAAACCACATTATCTTAGTGTTAGAAGGAACCACAAAGGTCAACCCACACGTAAACATGAATCCATTCTAAATTGCCCCCAGTTAATAGTCATCCCGCTTCCACATCAAGATTTCCAGCAATGGGGAGCTCACTATCTCCAGAGGTAGTCAATTCTATTTTCAGACAGCTCTAATTATCTGGCAGTTTTTTGTTTTACCCAATGGAAATCTGCCCCCCTGCAACTTCTAATCATTACTAGTTCTTTTTATTTTTTTTCCTAATTGGACCTATGATTTTGTGAAAAATGATTATTAATAACCAATATCTTGAGGAGGTTCAGAACCTCTCCCTGCACCACCACTCCTTCTTCCAAAGTCCTGACTTTACCTTCAGTTTTTCTTCTGAAGGACGTTACTGATAATGAGACTGCATGGACTCTCCTTATCTTGGTCAGACCCCATTCAAGCTAGCAAGGAATTTAATCTAAAGTGGGGAAACCCAATGTGTTCTACTCAGGCTTCGGTGGAGACATACTCTTTTGTCTAGATAGCCCAAGGCGGAGATAGGTCTGATATAGCTGGGAGTGGTCTGGTATAGAGCTATTTTCTCAGTCTGGGGGTGAAATGATGATGGAGTGATATCAGTCCCTGTTGGAAGGGTATATAAACTCTGCAGCCTAACCCTAAAGAGGGTTCAGTTCTGACTACAGTTCCCATATGTTTGCTCCACCCACTTTGAGAGAAAATAAAACAGGCATCCAACCTAATTCTGTTTGTCTTTCTCAGACCAAACTGTAGGGGTGATGGGGATGGGATCTAGACCCCAAAAAAGGAAAAACCCTGGACTTTCTCACATGGCCAAATCTCTGGCATTTGTCTGAGGCTATAATCCCATTAACTGGCCTTTCATTGTGGCTATACCCAATCTCTGTTACCCTTAACCTATCTGACTCCAAGAAAGTCTAGTAGAATCTTTAATAAACCTCGTTTTTGGCTGAAAGAAGGCTTGGGTTGAATTCTTTCTGACAGGACCTGCGTGTCATGATCTCCGGGTCCCAGCACCCCTAACCTGTAGACCTCATCATAGGCTGACAGATTTTATTGGTGTGGGAAACTCCTCCTGGTAAGAACTTCCTCTGCCAATGAGATCAGGGTCTTCTCCTTGTATTAAAGAGTTATCTTGGGAACTAAAAAAAGCATTATTCCCAGATCTACCTTCTGGGGCCAAACAGAACAAACTGAATCTTTCGTCCATATTACAATCCTTTAAACATTCAAAGACAGCTACTTTGTCTTCCCTAAACATTTTCTTCTACAGAATGAAAAACCTACCTGAATTCAACAGCAAACATTTGTCTACCCTGTACAAGGCACATAGTAGGGACACAAAGAAGGGGTGCAATGTGAGGATAAAAGATAAAACCATAACAATTTCTGCCTTCAGGGAGCTTATATTACATTGAGGGGGTATAACATGAATGCAAATAAATAAGTAGCAGGTGGTTGTTGTTTGCCCTTCATTCTCAAAGAGGACCAGTGACATCAGGAGGGGGATGTCTTGACTTGCAAATGAACTAGATTTAAGTGAGGCAAAACTGTGCAAAGTCATCAGCCTCACTCTCTCCTCCAAAGTCATCAGTCCTCTGGCAAGACATAGGTCAGGATGACACATGATGGCCTCAGATGCAGTGAGAGACCTTGGCCTTGTTAAACTAAGGTCTTTTCCAGGTCTCAGTTTGTGTGAGGCAATGCTCATTCAGTAATTAA